GTGTTTGAAAAGTTTGTGGTACTGTATTCTAAAGGTATGCCGAAAGTTGTAAGTGAATCAGAGGGAATGAGGTTCAGTAAGCATGCCATTTCACTCACAATTTTTGCCAAAGTTAATGTAAACAATTGTTATGGAATGAAAATGTGACTAAAATTAATCAAATAGATTACAAATATTAGTCCCAAGTCAAGATGTATACAATGAACATTTTTTATTACCATCTGTACTGAATTACACGAGTTGGTCCTGTTGTAAGTGACATGGTAAGGATGTCATCTGTGGGATGTCTCCATGCCCTGCTACACTGACAAGGTAAGGATGTTATCTGTGGGATGACTCCACGCCCTGCTACATACTCCCCCTTCAACAGAAGGCACATCCCGGGCCACATAGTAGGGTACTGAGATTTATTTTGCTCAAATATAATATGAACGTGCTCAGCCACACGTTGAGCACCAATGTAGCAGCCATAAAATTTTCAAGTCCCGTGATGGGATTCACACCATGGATCTTCTATTCTGAGGTCGAATGCTTTGTCCACAGGTTAACCCCGTCTTTGTCTTCTGTTGACGGGGGTGGTGGGAAGGGCTGAGTATGTAGCAGGGCGTGGAGTCATCCCATCCTGTAGAATTATAGTAACTGATTCAATTGTCAGGAAGGGCACTGTTGTTTTCTAAAAGGGTGATGTTTATTCCATAAGTGTTCCAATTTTGAATTATTATCATTTACCCATGCACCTACGGAACCCAGAAATTTATTAATGTCCTATTTCAAACAGAGATTTTCCAGGGTTAGCTTGACATGTTATGAAAGAAAGTCATTTTATTTCTGTATGTTAATTATAGATTTGGTTTCTGTAGGTATTAAAGTTTACAATTGATGTTGGCTATACTACTATTGCATCCATTCTGAAAAGATTAAAGTTATAAGTAAGATTTGAAAAGACAAAACAGGCACATTTAATAATTGCTTCCTGGTATTTGGTATGGAAACTTGGTTCTATTCTATGTATTCTATGACAATAGTTTCTTGAAATAGAAGTTACATGTTAAATTTTGATAACCTTATTTGAATATTGGATTTATTGAATTGGTGTTCGAAAATGGGAAGTGAATCTTTTAAAATTATTTTGCCTCAGGATATTAGTTTAGTTCACCTTTCCTGGTACAAAACCAACCAGAACTGACTTGTAAAAAAATCGGAGAATTAATTGGATCTCATTTAGAATTCTTGAATATCAGAATTCAATATCATGGTGCATTTTTGCAGTGTAATAGTCTTAGAATATAATTAATCTCTGAATTGGCGACAGGAAAGCTGTTTTGAAGTGATGATGCTCTGCAAGTCAATTACACCTTGGATTTTTGCATTGTGAGTGTTGGAGGGAGATTGATGACACTCTGTCTTGGGGGCTGCTCGGTTACACGTGGAGACAGGTCGGAGAGTATGATGGAGGGAAGACTCTTGAAGAATATGAATTGATAGCCAAGCAATAGCGAAGTGACCGTTCCATCATGTATTCAAATAGGTTATCACATGTGGCAGAGCCACACACCTAGTTCCAGTAACTATGCTTACTGGGTTCAATGTCTGCCCTGGCAATCCTCAAAATAGATTATGGAGAGAAAACTAATCTTGAGAATTTGTATTAGTTTCTACTGGAAGATTTATGGCATGGTCTATATGATATATTTTTTATATCATATTATTTTAAAATTATAATTTTCATTTAAATTTGGCACCAATTTTGCCTTTGACACCCAATGGAATCCGTTTCGGCAGATAATCGAGAATGGTAATTCTCTGGTGTTGACATTATATTTACCAGGGGGGTTCTCAAATTGCAACTTACCGAGTAAACTTAAGTCAAGTATTAGAACTAAGTCGATCTTCTTTTTGTTTTGATGAAAAATTCCAGACTGAGGTGGGGACGAATTAAAATAATAAACATGTTCTATCCTTCCAAATGTTTTCTGACAATATTGCGATGTTGACATGTTTGTGAAGCCAGTCTTGTCCATACGCCAACAGTGTGTGCACTATGTCACTATTCAACACGTATGTACTAAAAAATCAGAGGACTGATATGTGATTGTACAACTATTGAAAATCAGAACTCAAATCTAATAAAAGTAATTGATGTTTTGACACAAACTTATAGAATATTGTCTGTGAGGAGGCTAACATAGTTGATGATGAAGTTGTGTCAGTCATGGCCCTCGTGTAAACTGTAATGTGACAAGCCAGTGAGTGCATGCACACTAATTACAGCGTGTGGAGAAAGAGATACGCCTTACTCCGACATCAGCCCAACTGACTTGTCTCAAGCAGTCAAACCATCTCCCTCCTGTATTGTATCAAACGTGGCCTCATCTTGTGTCATCGCATGCTCTGACTTTTTACCTGACAAGCGTGACTAAGAAAACACCAACCTATCAGTTTGACTGTGTCGTTTTTGTAGTCAAAATCAATTTTTTACCCGAGTCAATTTCCTCTGGAGGAAGATGTCCCATCATAAAGGCTTAGAGATGGTGACAAAATGGCCCCCTGACATGCAATATGTGGGGCTGTGCTAGGAGAGGATCAGATACTGATGCCAGCCTGCAGGCCGGCTGATATTGTTATCCATCTTCATAGAGATTCCAACACTCTGCTGTAAGGTATGTCATTAATTCCTATCAACTCATCATCATAGTAAGTTCTAAATCTAGTCAAGCAAACTAAGGATAAACTTTCAAAGATTTTGGGTCATTGTATTTGCAATTGAGTGAAATACTTTCACATCACAACAAATGAACACACAAGCATCTACTTTGTTCCATTATTCCATATTTGTTTTCGGATTAAGGATGATTTTGAATTAAGTTAGAAATTATATTTCCAGGAGAAATTGTTTCTGTGAATATCAAGTTAATGGGAACAATTTTTCTATGAAAGGAAATTTTAATAGCATGATCATGACTCGCAGAGCACTCAGAATATAACTCAATTATGAATCTTCTTGCTCTGGTCTGTCATTCTTCTTTTTTTCATAAATGATTTATTCGGTATTGAAATCATTTGCCTGCCATTTGACTTTAATGTTTATCACAATGATTTATACAGAGAGATTGAAGGCAGACGGTCAGTACAGCTGCTCTTTTCTCACATCCAGTCTGGGCGTATGCTCTCTATGTCTGCCCACCACTCCGTGCGTCTGCTCACCACTTCTTGCGTCTGTTATCCATGATTCCAAGCAAACAATAGGAACAAGTGACATTTAGTCTAAAGGTCAGAGATAATGATATTTGAACTGAAAAGGGAACTTTTGCATCAAAGAGACAACCTTTCTTATAGAACTAATGCAGTTATGAAGACATCAGAGTTGCCTTTGTAAGTGGTGACAGATTTTAGATAGGTGTGCAGCTTGAAGATCTGTATAATGTCATTACCAGAAACATTTCAAACTAGGAGGCATATGATCCAAAGATATTTTGAGATTCACATGTGAAGAAATATTTCCTTTTTCATGTCTCTGTAAGCTTTTTGATGTCAAGCATCACTGAATTTTAAACAGTGTTCTGATTCAAAACCATGTACAAGATGATATTTTGTTGCATTTCTCTCAGTATGAACATGACAAGTCAAACTGTGTATTCCAGATCAATGTAACTGCTACTGAAAGTTATTTGAGACAAGCTTGGTTACCTGTTTTTGGTTACCATTTATATCATTGAAAACACCCCTTCAAGAAGTTCCTATAACCAGCATTCCCCTCCACCCAACAAGCCAGTCTAATGAGGCGTTTCAAGAGGCTTAAAGTGTTTTTTGTATACATTCCTTGACACTTTCCGGGAAGAGTTCAGATTTAGTTCCTGTCAATAGGGGCACAATATGTCCATACATTATTGACCTGAGAACATTGTATTGTATTGAGTATGGTTTTACGCCGCTTTTAGCAATATTCCAGCAATATCACGGCGGGGGACACCAGAAATGGGCTTCACAGATTGTACCCATGTCGGTGACCTGAGAACAGAAAATATACCATCACACATGCAACTTGAGTCATCAGTATCATGCCTTTTGGCTGGAATATTATGTTGGATGTGTAAAATGTGTGTAATTCAGTGTCTGCACTACATGGATGGGTAATTGTCATTCAGGCTTCAGGACTGAAAGGGCTAAATAATATCGACTAAGAATGCAATGTATAGGGCTACTGCACTCCTCAGTCTCTGTGGTTGGATATTACTCCTCTACAGGAGGATAGTATACAAGTTCAGTCATATGATTGTTGAAAAGTAGCATGTTTTACCATGACAAAATTGCTCTTAAAAATGCAAACTGAAATTGGCAAGCCTCAATATGGTTGGAAAGAAATCGCAATCGTTAACCACAAGGGCTTTGTCCTCATTAAGAAAATCTTCTGTTGTAAGAGTCATTCCAATAGATATGAAAAGTTTATTACTTAACCGTAACTTAAGCTTTGTATGCATTGGATGGTATTTGATTAATTGCACTGGGTGTTGTGAAAATGCATACCGCAAGGAAGGATGCAAGGTTTGGCTAAGTTTTTGTGTGTATCTGACATTTTTGTCCTGTAGTCATTGAATCAGAGGTTTCAAATAGCTTCTGAAGATTGTTGTTGGGGGTCTAATTAGTCCTGGGTCGTTAGTACCTAGAAGCAACGTTTGTTGTATGCCTGTTCATCATCGCTGAGGGGCTGAAGCAGAAGAATCTATCAGGAAAGCACAACATGATTTGGTGCATTCATACACTACATGCCTGATTAGTGTGAGAAAATGCCACGTGTCGGCTCCAGCAAATAACACGGCCACTGCAGCCTGACTATAGCTGGCAAAGCGGGGCTATGTTGCTATTGACAATATCCCATGGTCAATACTGGAAAAGGAAAACAGATCTTTTAATCTGTCCAATTTTTTATTCACATTACATAATTGGGGATATTAGAATGGTTTCCTTGGCAAAGTTGGTTGTCTGTGGCAGTGTTGGTTGTCTGGGCGGTGTTGGTGTCTGGTGTTGGTGGCGTGTGTTGTGGTGATGGTATGGTAGTGATTCTGCTATCTGATTAGTGGTACCGGAACCTGCTTTAGTGTTGGTGACTGAGGAGGAAATTCTCTCGGTGGGGGTAGATGTTTTGTGATCAGGTTCCTGAGTCAAGACTTCATATTGTTTACACCGCCAGTCATTGCCAGACTTACCAGGACAGACAAAGGTATTTATATCTGGTTTTGATTGTTGGTCGTTATTGGAAACTGGGGACATGCAGTGGGTAATGTTCTTATACTTGGAAATGTGGCATGACCGTGGTGAACTGCAGATTGCCTTCAGGCAGGACATCGGTGGATGTTAAAGACCAATATTTGTAATATATATTGAGTGAAGTCTCTGGGCATATGTCCAATCTATTTGCTCATGTTTTCAAATGTCAGGTTTGTAAAATGAATACTTAGATTTAGATGTTTGTTCATTTCAAATGTATTACTTTTAAGTCAGATATAGGTTTGTATTTTGTTTTAGTTTTCCATGAAATATTTCTTAATTGCAAGGCATGAGAAATATTTTTTGAGTATTCAATCATTCAGTCTTTTTTATCCAGGACATATTCATAACCACAGAGCAGGAATATTTTCAGGAGGATTATTTTTTGAAGACAAGGTATCTTTCGTCTAGATTTATGATTTATAAATTGCAACAAACAGTTTATGTGAAATGTATTCAAATTTCAGTTCTGTTCTGCTTGGTATTTGACCACTTTTCCTTCATTGATTATTGGGACTTACCTCGCCAATGTCTTGTATGCATTCATATGTATTTGTGTGTTTCATCAATATATGTTTGGAAATCAATGTAATGATTTGCACTGACACTTAAAGTGACCATAATCAATATGTGAAAGACTTATCGAGGAATCATAAGACTTTGTTTTGCTGCAGTGGAGGAATGCTGTAAAAAACAAGTCTCTTTATCATGTTAAATCTTTGACATGATGTAATAATTTTTGTGATTTGTTTGATAATTTGTTGATTAAGGAGAATACTTTGGGGTATTTTGTTATAAAGTTCCTTATGTTTTAAATTTAAGAATAACCACAAAATTGTTTTGTTTATTCAGAAGATATAGACATGTACACAGTCCAAACAGTTCTAGTCCTCATGTAATATCATTTGAAAGATGAAGAAGACGTTGACTTTGGGGTACTGTAGATTTTTATTCTGGATATTATCCCATTAAATCATAAGATCTTGTTTATTCAGCCAATTCTTTCCAAGTGTCAAAGGTTTTAGGTATCCAGACTTATAAAAGATCATTATCAAGGTTCAACTAAGGCCTAGTGGACAAATATACCACTTAACATTAATCAGGATGAGTGATTTCAAAAAGGAGTTTGTCTGACTGCTAATGGAATGTAAGAACTATCAGACAAGTGTCAGGGGAAGGAAAGGCTATAAACTGATGAAGTAACTGTGATGTTTAGGTATGGAACTTAAAACTGACATTTAGTAATTGTCCCGCCAATCTGTGTGAGAACAGTGGCCAGGTAGTTCTGTTTGCTTTCGGAAAGAAATACTCTTCTGTTTGATCAAGAGAAGGAAAGGACATAAATTGATGAAGTATTTGCCATATTACGGAATAGAATTTCTTGAGACTGATGTTTTACAATAAGTCTAGCAGATTGTGCATGGGGGCAGACACTGCATAGTTCTGTGACATCCTGAAGAAATGTTATCAGATATTATGTAAAACATCAGCACCAGAGAATGAGCATGATTATCTGCCAGGACAGATTCCATTGGGCGTAAAAGGCTAAAGAGTGATGAAAATGATATCACTGGATCTCTAAAAATCAGTGATGACACCAGGCGTTCAAGAAAGGGATAGCATGTCCTGCTCTGCTGGTAGCACCCATCACAGGACCAATAGAGACGAAGAGGCTTTTGTGCTTATTTTTACATTATTTCACTGAATGCAATGTTTACAACAAACCTCAGATTTTAGGAAAATAACAACATTAAATAAATCCCAATTTATACAGAAAAATGCTTTTCCCAATTTGCCAGCCAGGGGCACTCAGTTTCAAACCCTAGAAAAGTCCCCGACCTCTGTATGACTGCTCCACCATTCAAGAAAGTGTTTTGTTTCCAATTATAAGGGATGACGTAGAACAGCTCCTTGCAAAACCCATGGGGACGATGTTTAATTGTGTAATAGAAACTGTACAAGTGTACAGCCTATCATCAGTCACACTGCGAGGCCCTGTCAGTATTCTGGATGGTGATCAGAATGGCCCTGGTATGATTCTGGTCATTAAATACAAACATGGTGATTTGGATTGGGAAAAAGAGGGAAAAGTGTCAAATAATTTCTTTGCATTGATTTAGGAGACAAATGATTTGTCAAAGATTTCATGGTCAGCAAGCACAATACACAATGGCTCTGTTTCCTCGACATCTAGTCCTGGGCCCTGTTCCACCAAGTGATCATTGTGCTATGACTGTCTATATTGAAGTATGGAGTTACGATCATCTTAGCGCTATGACTGTCATAAGTCTATATTGAAGTATGGAGTTACGATCGTCTTAACGCTACGACTGTCATAAGTCTATATTGAAGAATGGAGTTACGATCATCTTAACGCTACGACTGTCATAAGTCTATATTGAAGAATGGAGTTACGATCATCTTAGCGCTATGACTGTCATAAGTCTATATTGAAGTATGGAGTTACGATCGTCTTAACGCTACGACTGTCATAAGTCTATATTGAAGTATGGAGTTACGATCGTCTTAACGCTACGACTGTCATAAGTCTATATTGAAGAATGGAGTTACGATCATCTTAACGCTACGACTGTCATAAGTCTATATTGAAGAATGGAGTTACAATCATCTTAGCGCTATGACTGTCATAAGTCTATGTTGAAGTATGGAGTTAAGATCGTCTTAACGCTACGACTGTCATAAGTCTATATTGAAGAATGGAGTTACGATCATCTTAACGCTACGACTGTCATAAGTCTATGTTGAAGAATGGAGTTACGATCATCTTAACGCTACGACTGTCATAAGTCTATGTTGAAGTATGGAGTTATGATCATCTTAACGCTACGACTGTCATAAGTCTATATTGAAGTATGGAGTTACGATCATCTTAACGCTACGACTGTCTTAAGTCTATGTTGAAGTATGGAGTTACGATCATCTTAACACTACGACTGTCATAAGTCTATGTTGAAGTATGGAGTTATGATCATCTTAACGCTATGACTGTCATAAGTCTATATTGAAGTATGGAGTTACGATCGTCTTAACACTACGACTGTCTTAAGTCTATGTTGAAGTATGGAGTTATGATCATCTTAACGCTATGACTGTCATAAGTCTATGTTGAAGTATGGAGTTACGATCGTCTTGGCACTACGATTGTTATAAGTCTATGTTGAAGTATGGAGTTATGATCATCTTAACGCTATGACTGTCATAAGTCTATGTTGAAGTATGGAGTTATGATCGTCTTAACGCTATGACTGTCATAAGTCTTTATTGAAGTATGGAGTTATGATCGTCTTAACGCTATGACTGTCATAAGTCTATGTTGAAGTATGGAGTTATGATCATCTTAACGCTATGACTGTCATAAGTCTATGTTGAAGTATGGAGTTATGATCGTCTTAACGCTACGACTGTCATAAGTCTATGTTGAAGTATGGAGTTATGATCATCTTAACGCTAGGACTGTCATAAGTCTATGTTGAAGTATGGAGTTACGATCGTCTTGGCACTACGATTGTTATAAGTCTATGTTGAAGTATGGAGTTATGATCATCTTAACGCTATGACTGTCATAAGTCTATGTTGAAGTATGGAGTTATGATCATCTTAACGCTACGACTGTCATAAGTCTGTGTTGAAGTATGGAGTTACGATCGTCTTGGCACTACGATTGTTATAAGTGTATGTTGAAGTATGGAGTTACGATCATCTTAACGCTACGACTGTCATAAGTCTATGTTGAAGTATGGAGTTAAGATCGTCTTAACGCTACGACTGTCATAAGTCTATGTTGAAGTATGGAGTTACGATCATCTTAACGCTAAGACTGTCATAAGTCTATGTTGAAGTATGGAGTTATGATCATCTTAACGCTATGACTTTCATAAGTCTATGTTGAAGTATCTAGTTATGATCGTCTTAACGCTATGACTGTCATAAGTCTATGTTGAAGTATGGAGTTATGATCGTCTTAACGCTATGACTGTCATAAGTGTATGTTGAAGTATGGAGTTATGATCATCTTAACGCTACGACTGTCATAAGTCTATGTTGAAGTATGGAGTTACGATCGTCTTAACGCTACGATTGTTATAAGTCTATGTTGAAGTATGGAGTTATGATCATTTTAACGCTACGACTGTCATAAGTCTATGTTGAATGATTGAGTTATGATCATCTCAGCACTACGTTCTCTTTGTTGAACAGGGGCTAGCTAGGCTTGGATAATGTAATTAGTGCCAGTGAGAAACTGAGACATGGTGTATTCATTTACTGCTAGATTAACCTCCATCATTAATGCTGAGCTAGGAGGCAAACCAATTGAGTTGAATCAAACTTGCTTTGACTGCCATTTAGCTTGAGTCTAGTCTCCCTTAAGCAGAAATTCTGCAGAATGAAAGGGTCAACCCTGCTTCCATAGGACATGTAAGCCCAAACCCTGGCATGAATGTAGTGATATCATTCTTGATTTTACTGTCCTAGATAAAATAATCTTACATGTGTAGCTTAGGGTATAAGGTGTTCTTGAAGTAACTTCTATTTTCCCATAGAAAAGAAACCAAATGCATTTAAAAATAAATATCCACAATCAGGTTTATTTTATATCTGTAGCTAGTAACTGGAACATGATGAAAAAATGCATGAATTTTTAATGAATTATTTTGTAAAAAGTGTGACTTCTTCATAACTAAATCAGCACATCGACCACATTTGATTAATTAGTACAAATTTAAATTGTGTTAATTCCTTTTCATCTTGAATATCTGATTTCTTCTGTATTCATGGCAACTGAAGTATAGAATAGAACATATCCATCATAGCTGTGACCTTGATTCTCTGGTCTCCACCATTGGTAAATTCCCGACTATGGCCCTAACCAATCAATTTACATATTTGATTGCTGCCGGGAATGAGAGTTTAACCAAGTCTGTTCTTGTTGAG